ATGAAAAAAACCAACAGACAAAAGGTGTTCCCTGTAGGGAACACTATGACGGAAAGGGTTAAAAGCTCTTAATAAATCTTTAGCACGAGCATGGCCAAGAAAAGCAGAAGAAAAATAGTATGTTTCTACTTGATTACTATCATTATTCCAGAATCTCAAAGCAATATCCATTTGTTGAATTTGTGTCATTTTATTTAAGCTTTCATCAATAGAAACTACAAATGGACCACAGTTACGAACAGCGTCAACAACTTTCCTATTAAAATAGGATGCCAGACCAAAAACTATCTCATATGATAGCTTTGTACGAGCTAAATATTATATTAATGCGAACAGGCTAATGATATTTTCATTTAATTTAAAAAATCTCAGGGCAAACAAATCAGCAACACATCATATAACTTATCATCAAACGATTATCAGTTTACCTTTGGTATGGATTTCCTTTCTTCAAAACAGGAAATTATCAGTTTATCTTTGGTATGGATTTCCTTTCTTTAAAACAGGAGAAACGTTAGAGCTCAATGGTCAAGCACTATACGCATGCATTATCTTTACAACACAATAATAAAAAAAATGAGAAAAAATTTCCTAACATACGAAAGGTCTAACAGCAAAAGTAACGTCGTCCAAACAATAATAAAAAAATGAGAAAAAATTTCCTGACATACGAAAGGTCTAACAGCAAAAATAACGTCGTCCAAATAAATTGCGAGTCAAAACAAAATATACACACACAAGACAATAGTGCTCTAGCGCTACAAGATCACGGCAAATCATAAAGCCAAAGAATTATCGACCGAATTGGCTTGAAGAACAAAGCAAAATAATTTTATCGATATTGTGGTGTTGTGATATAAATAAATTTCTTTACAGCTATTTTATTTTTCCCAAAAAATGCGCTGAAATCCCTGACTTTCCCTGATTTACTGACGCATTTTTCAAATGTCCTGACATTTCCCTGATTTCCCTGACTTGTGGCAACCCTGAACTACTATAAGCAGAAAATGAGAACAAATCTAATAAGAAGTTAGGAGAGGGAGTAATAACTCTATAAGATGGAAAGATACATGTTGAACAAAGTAAAATTAAAAAAAGGGATACAATTAAAAAATCAATCACAACGTGACTAATATTTTAATTATATTAATGATAATTATTAAGCAGAATGATAAGGCTCAATTATAAATAAATATAAATAGAAATGAGCATACAACCACAATGCAAGATGTCATTCGCAAAGTCATGTATTTAAAAAGGGACAAAGGTAAACGTCTTGGCCAAATTACGACCATCATCAAAATTAATAGTATACAGTATAAAATAATGATAATCATTAGATTAACATTAAATGTTAACCTCTAACGATTATCATTATTTTATGTGGCTACATGCTCATTTCTATTTGTTTATTAATGACAATTATTTTATCCTGTTAGAATTACAATAATAAATTTGGTTATACCAATAACATTTATTTTAGACCATTAGGAATGTAATAATTATTAACCCAATATTGAAACATTTGTTTTAATAAATATCATTATTTTTTTAATTACTCAGCATTAATGCTTGACTTGCAACCCTACCTTTATTTTGTTTAATTTTTGAAATTATTTGAGCCTGTTTTACTTTTTATATTTAAAATTTAAAGTTTTCTATAACATTTTTACTTACTTCATGAATATGTTCCGGCCGACATACAGGTTCTGATATGGCTATTAAAAAATCATGAGCATGTTTATACACAGAAGAAAAGGATTCCAAAAAAATATGTCCATTTGGTGCCTAAAAAATACAGAAATACTAAATTTAAACTTTTGATTTAGTCTATTCAGAACTTAATCAGTTCCATAGTCCTGATAATCTCATGACATAAAATGTGAACTTGATATCCGAGACACTGTTGTATCTCCTATTTTTTTAATTTATTTTATTAATAACAGAGTTTTGTAAAATAAATTTAATTTTCTTTCCCTAAATTTTAGAAACAGATACTTACCACCCACAATGGTCTAGATGAACAATCTGATTTTAATATCATTTGCGAGCGATAATCTTTTGCACCAAATTCATCCTCAATCGCACAATCATCTTGTTTTTCAACATCATTCTTTGCTGCATCCGGAATACCATCTGTCTCGCTACTGTCTATTGAATCATCATCATTGTATTCATCATAATCGTCCTTGCGCTTCTTAAATTTACCTTTATTCAATGAACAAAAACGAAATATAGTACAACTTTTTATATAAATGTATATATTATTATATAAATATACTAAAAAATTATATAAATATATAAGAATAAATTATACATAAAAATAATATTAACATAATAATAAATCAGGTAAATTGAGAAATGTAGTTTTTTTCAACAAAGAAAATATATATATAGGTTATATACTATTATCTTTTTTGAAACGCTTAGGCGGACCCATTATAGAGACACCGAAGTATAAAAAAATTTAGTTAATCAATAGATTAAAATCGCTTTTCTTCTTTGATATAGATGATTTGATCATTTGTTTTACTTCATTAAAATTTTGTCAATGTATATCAACTTCACAAAATATAACCTTCGTTACTTAAGGTACCGTTTCATGCCATAGCCATAAGAAAACATAGACCGAGCGTAAAGCGGGGAGCACAGACTTTTGCATAAAGGAGCCTACAGACCAGAGCGGCGCAGCGGTGAAGCGGCGAGCGTTAGCCAATGAGAGCCATGCTTTTGCGTAAAAGCATGGCCCTCATTGGCTATTGCTCGCCGCTTCACCGTTGCGCCGCTCTGGTCTGTAGGCTCCTTAACGCATAAACCAAGAAGACTAGAACCAGGAGAGTAAACTCGGTCAAATATCGGTAGTGGGGGTAGGCCAAAAAGTGACGGCGGATAACTTCCCCCACTCTTGCGCTTCAAGGTAAAAACTCATGGGCGCGTCATTTGACGCGCGCGTCACGCGTCATTGGGGAAATAACTAGATTATAGTGACTTCTGGCACTGTCGCGTTTGACGCGTTTACAGTTGAATTTATCCAACTTCAAATGTCGCCGCCTTTGGCAATTTTTTTTAGTAACTTCTAGCATTATCTTATGTTTAATTGTATGTATTTACGTTGACGCGTTGTATTAAAAAATAAAGTAACGTTAATACATAAAGTATCCTCAGTAATTACTAATGGCTTACTAATGGCAAGCGTACGTAGCCACTTTGCCATCTTGAACTCGCCCAATAATTTAAGAAGAAGATCTAGTTTTGTGCAGTTTGGAGCCGAAATGGAGACTGGCAGTTTAGACGAGATTCAGGTCAGTAAAAAGAAAATATAAAGTAAAATAAAAGTAAAAAGAAATTGATATACATATTACGAAATGAGTTATATACATACAGTGTGCATTATTGAAGATATAGTTGTATTTTCAAGATATTATAACATGAAATTTCTTATAGAGAGTATTCACATGCGGTTTATGTGAAGAAATTGTGGAAATAGTAGAGAGCCATCCTTGTGTGGTAGACTATGCTGAAGTAATTTTTGACGAAAATCTATATTTTTATCCTCAATGCGGTAAGTGAATTTAATTTAATTACTGTTTCATGATTGAATATTGCATTGTTATTTTATATATATATATATATATATATATATCTCATGTACAGATAATGGAGACATTGTGCGTCGAAGCAATGTGAATGGAGAAAATATTAATGTTGTTGAGAACTCACAGTTCCCGTCGAAAGGTCCACAAGGTGTGACACCGGAAAGCAATGCAGATGAGATTCTGATTGCAGAGGTGTTCTTAAGGGAGCCATTATGGAATCAGAATATTGCGATCGCACGGCGAGGCAGAAGAACGATGGATAAGCTATGGCAAGAAGTTAGCGAAGCAACAAAAGGTAAACACAACCAAGACTTTCATTTTTCAAACAAGCTACATAAATAGTACAAGTAGTGAGACTTTGGAAGATTACCTAGATGAGTGACTTATCTGATAACAAGAAAATTTCTATATAATTCTCTTGATGTCGCAGGCTTCTTCTAAGCCATTTTCTCAAAACTCCCACTATTCATATTATGTATAATATGTATAATCTCTCAGTTTTCCCATGAAGTACACGGACATAGCTTGAATAAGGAGCGATTCACTTGCACACTGTAGCTATTGCCCACTGCCTATCACAGCAACTTCTGCGTAGGGAATTTTTTTTTTTTCTAGCGTTGTGATTGGCTTGTGCGCAACTGGCTCGTGTGCAATTGATATACACCCGCTTGAATACACAAGATTATTGTAAGTGTACACAGCATTTATAATTATTATAATTAAAAATAAAAAAAACATTTTATTTCAGGAGTATACTCTAGTGAAGAGTGTAAAAGAAAATGGAAAAATCTCCGTGATCGATTTATGAGGATTGTTTCTGCGGAGAAGCTGCCAAGTGGAGCGGCAAGTCAGTCAAAGAAGAATAAATGGCGATTCTATGAATCACTAAACTTTTTGCGTGACACGTTATTAAGAAGAGAGTAAATAAAAAAACTTTTTATTTTCAGAAAATATATTAAAAGAGCATTGTGAAAGTATTTTAACTACTATTAATTGTGACAGTAAAATTATTAATAATTGTTACTGTTATTTCAGAACTGTATCGAACATACCAGTCTGTAATAATATGAATGTTGAAGATGAAGAAGAAGAATCTGCACAAGATGATACCCCTAGTATGTTGCATTTTATACCATTTTATATTATTTTAATTTGTATATAATAAATGCTACATCACTATGTATAACTTATCATTTTCAGAGAACAGTAAGAAGCAAAGGGTAAACAGAAACTCAAATCAAGATAGTGTTATCTTGGAACAAATAAGTGAGGCCTTACACGAACCGCCTCCGACAATTTCTTTGCCGTCAATTCCAGTAGCGGATGAAGAAGAGCATTTCGGAATGATGATTTCCTCGCAGCTTCGTAAATTTTCAAGATCCCGCAGGAGGCAACTAATGTTTAAAATACATAAAATGCTATATAAAGAACTAAATAAGGATGAGCAATAAGTTGAATATGAAGAAAATTTATTATAACGTTATTTCTTATGTTTTTTTTTATAATAGAATATTTTATACTACAAAGAAATAATATAAAAAAGTATTTTAGAGATCTTACAAATGTTTTCTTATATATAGGGAGAATGTTATTTAACATTGCTAATAATCGTTTCTACAGGTGTCTCAGAAAAACCGCAAAAAATTACATGCACAGATAGAGCGGACTGAACTGAGTCGAAAAGTCCTCTACCGTTTTGCAATTTTTGCAATTGTCAACGAGATAATAATTAGTAAAAATTACCGAATACGTGTGTCCGCCCGGCTTACTACTGCCAACAGTGTACGCCCATGATAACTCGATGGTGCGCGGACCGCGGAGAGCGAGGGCTTTTCGACTCAATTCAGTCCGCTCTACCTGTGCATATAATTTTTTGCGGTCTTTCTAGGACATTCTATATATAACAAAAAAGTTATTACTTATAATATTATAATGAAGGTTAATGTTTTATATTACTCTTAATAATGGTTACATTCAATAGAAAAAGCAGCTTTGCAACTGTTGTAAAATTCTTTTA